GCCCTTAAATTTGGGGTTGAAAAAGTTATTTTCACAAATATCTCGGAAACTATTAGCCGTAGGTAAGAAATTCGAAATGCAAATTTTGCTGTTTGAGGAGGCCAATAATATGGCGTAAGTAGACTTTTGAAAAATTTGTTTATTTAAAAAATATGTTAAAAATTAACATTTTTTTGCAAATTTTTTTTATAAAATATTGGACTATTTTTATCAAATTTCACATATGTAAATGTAATCCATCAATTGTTAGGTTAAGGAATTACAGGCGCGTAAAATGACCGATGTTAAAATAACGTCGGTTCATTCGTTGATGGCTATGTGCGATATTGCGCGGGCCGCTGTCCTTTCTCCCGTTTTTATATGGTTCTTCGGCCGTTAGGGCCCTGCCATGTAATCCATCAATTGTTAGGTTAAGGAATTACAGGCGCTTAAAACGACCGATGATAAAATAACGTCGGTTCACTCGTTGATGGCTATGTGCGATATTGCGCGGGCCGCTGCCCTTTCTCCCGTTTTTATATGGTTCTTCGGCCGTTAGGGCCCTGTGAGCCTTGGGGTGGGGGCGGAGCCTGCGCTCATCCTCGTCTAGGGCCCCCTGCTGGTCGGGTCCCGCGGTCGTTGTCTAGGCGCGTCGCACAGCGCCTTACACAATGTTCAAGATAAAGTCTCGTGGATGCCATATGGACTCGGAGGAACCAAAAAATGAACGAATCGGCACCTAACGAGTCCACGAGTTAGCGACAAACCCACGAATTTAATCCATCAATTTTTCCCGCAGAAAAATACAAAAAACACAGTAACAATCTTGACGCTTTGTAGAACTTCTATTCGCTACGTTAAAGCAAATTCAGGTAAAAAAAAATGACAAGTCGTGAATGGTTTCTGTTTTATTTTATTCGTACTTTATATGAAACAATTGACTATTTATTGTGACTTAGGTATACGCGACTAGTACATACATGTAACATGTATCTTTTTTTCTTCGTAAAGTTAGACGTGTGTCTTGTGCAAAACCGGTACATTCATTTAAGGAACAGATCGCATTATAATCGTTGTGAGGACGTGATCGAGTAATCTTAAAAAGGAACGGTTCACTCGTAATTTCGTTTCTCTTATTTTCTCTCTCTCTTCTTTTCTTTCTCTTCTTCTCCCATTCGACGACGTACTTTCTCGTGGATTCTTTACATAAGAATGAACGCACAACGGAGTTTCTCTATCGAGAAACGGTTCACCGATTTGAAACACAAGTCACTTAAATCACATACCTCTCTCGCTTCGCCGACGGTTAAATTACATTTACTAAAAGATGTGCGTGCGTGCGCGCGCGCCTCTTTATTTCTATTCTTTTCTTACTCTCTTCCTTTATTTCCTTTTACAGAGTACGTCGCCTCTGTTTAGTACATGTGTTGATTAATTACACTGTGACTTTCATCTCTGTTTCGACGAGGTTGCAGAAAAAGAGACTCTCGGAATCGTATCCCTTATTCGAGCTTGCTCGTTTATCGTACAAGCCTTAATATCGTTTAAAGTGTGAACGCGGTTAGACCTCGATCTTTCGTATTAATTAATCAATCGTTCGATCGTTACCAGCCTTCCTTGTGATATTGTGAGTTCCATTCTGATAAAAGTCAGTCTTTCTATTCGCTAATATAAATCAATCCTCGAAAATTTAATATATAAAAACGATCTCGAAGTTATAAAACGATCATCGTCGACTTCATTCTCGACCAATAAATTCCTCAAAGAACGTTAAAGGACGATATTGTTCGGAAATATTTATTCCAACGTAGCGAACGAAATTACCAGAATTAGTATTAGCGATAATAATGGAAGATTCGCAGCAACTCGATAAATCTCGTACAACGCGAGATCGTTTTATACGCGTTACGCTTTAATCAGAAGTTTTTAACAGGCATTAAAGTCTCTCTGCTAACGTAACCTCGATGTTCCGCCGTGAAATGATACAATTTCGTTCCATCGTAGAATATAAAAGAACTCGTAAAAATAAATAATACAATTCGCCGTATTACAGCCATAGAGAGCACGGCAGGTTGTTATTCGAAAAGCGGCGTGTAAAAACAAAGAACTACCGCTGCTCGTAACATTCTGTACAAATAATGGCGGGCAATATAAAACATATGAGAACCTGTGTAAATTTGTTCACGCCGTCTGGATGGTTCTTTTTAATTCGATTAAGCCTGTTCGCCGTTAGCTTAACTGTGACTGTTTTTTCTTTCTTCTTCTTTTTGTTTTTTTGTTTTTTCTTTTTTAGTCGATACGTATATTAAACATTCACGTTCTAGTTCTGTTTACTTCCGCCTTAATCTAACACAATCAATCACGTTTCCGGGAAATCGATCGAAACATCTCTACCTCTTCGATCTTTGATTCTCTTTCTTCTTTCAGTTTTTCGTTTGTTTCTCATTTTACGAACGAATACTTTTTTGTTTTTTTTTTTACCAAGAGATAGAGAGAGAGAGAGAGAGAGAGAGGGAGAAGATTTCAAGGAATTTCCGGAGAGAACGCGTTAATAATTTAATCGGGATTGTGCCACTGGGCACTCGAAGCTCGTTCGTTAAAATACAATCTGTCATTGTTCGCGGGTTCGCGTTTCACGATAGATTACCGCGCGTAATTTACAATAATATCGAGGGCTTAACGTAATTTTCGTGATACTCTGTACAAATCCTACCTGTGCTAGCCACATATGTACAAGAATCTATTAATATATAGAACTTCTTACACGTTTTACTTTTGGCATTTGCGTGAGAGAGGTGACGCGTGGTTCTCGCTACTTCAAATCCGTGCATCGCGTTTGTTTCTTCTCGTACTCGTTAATTCGCTATATTTATATTTATACGCGTTCGCAGGGTGGGACGTTTGAAACGAGACAGTTTGAATAGATCTGTATGTACGCTATTTTTCTTTCCTTTTTCCACTAACGAGAAGAAATATTTCAAGTTTGTTTATTCGGTAAATTTAACGTGGTTGATAAATTTAATTTGAGAAACTTAAATAAAGATACTACAGATAAAAATTATTCAGTTTTTACGCTTTTCGTCCTTTCGCTGCGGCTGGTTTTAGGGCGTGATAATCTTTTGCTTTGGCATTTCAATAGTTTGGAAAAATTTAAAAATTGCAATTAAAAATTTAAAAATTTGTCATTTTGTTAAATTCAGATGGAAGTGTGCAAAGAGAAAAGTTGTACACGTAAAATATCGTGTGAGTAAATTTTCGTATCGCCTATAGGCGTCAAGGATATAGCGTGAGAAAATTTTCGCGCGGCCTATAGACGCCAAGGGCAAAAATTAAAGATTAAATTAAGGTGAAAGCGTGACGAAAGTCGCCCAAAAGTACAGTGTCATGAAATTTTCACAACGCCTATAGTCGCTACAGGCACAGCGTGAAAAAATATTCACACTGCCTATAGATACCAAGGTCGCAGTGCGAGAAAACATTCACACTCCTTATAGGCGCCGAGGATATAGCGTGAGAAAACATTCACACTGCCTATAGACGTCAAGGACAACAATTAAAGATTAAATTAAGGTGAAAGCGTGTCAAAAGTCACCAACCCCGCGAGAAAATATTCACACTGCCTATAGGCGCCAAGGTCACAGAGTGAGAAAACATTCACACTGCCTATAGATGCCAAGGTCGCAGCGTGAGAAAGTTTTCGCGCCGCTTATAGACGCCAAGGGCAAAAATGAAATGTTAAATTAAGGTGAAAGTGTGGCAAAAGTCGCCAAAGCACAGTGCAAGAAATCTTTCACACTGCCTATAGATACCGAGGTCACAGCGTGAGAAAACATTCACACTGCCTGTAGACGCTAAGGGCAAAGATTAAAAATTAAATTAAGGTGAAAGTGTGAGAAAATTCGCCAAAAGCACAGCGTGAGAAAACATTCACACTGCCTATAGATACCAAGGTCACAGCGTAAGACAATTTTCACAACGCCTACAGTCGCCAACAACAGTGAAAGGATTAAAGTGGAAAGATAAAAAATTATACCAGATTAAAGAGGTGTATTCAAATGTTTCTTTTTAAAAGTCTCACCCTGTATTATAGATTTATGTATATGCATATGTATACATAATATGTACATGCTCTATTAGACTCTTACAGTTAAAACGACTGGTATACACCGAGTGATTTTTAGTATATACTATATATAATATATATATATATTTCTCTCTTCGTTCTCTGATTCGTATTTCATTTATATGTATATTTATATATATAATTCGACTAGAGCGTTGAATTCCAAAATTCGATTTCATACCTTTAATTCTTCGCCGATTACGATCCGCGTCGGTTGTGTCAATTTGTCGGGTGAAATGTTTAACCTCGTCAATATCCATCGACGTTCAATATTATCGAATGTTAAATGACGATCGCTAAAGCACACCGGATGCTTCGAGTTAAATCGTTTTGGAATTCTCGTGTTCTTCGATTAGTATACTGGATGCCCATGTTTGAATGAAATCGAGAGTCTGCTATATCGATCTTTCTTATCTAAAACATTTAGCCTAAAAAAATGAACGAATCTTTCTAAATAAATCTGACAAATTATATTCCTTTAAAAGAAAAAACCAAATTGCTTTAATCACTCTCGGAACAATTTTAAACACACACACACAGATAAACAGAGAAGTGAGTTGTTGAAGTTCCCATGGAACTTCCTTTCAATGCCACTGAAACGTAATATTTCAGCAAACTAACGGGAAACTTTCGTAAGTTCCATAGTAAGCCACGTTTTACGAGATCATCATTCGGCTCTTGAAACATTTTTATCTTTTCGCATTTCTCAACCTACCGAGGAGAGCGTCGCGAGTCACCGTGAGAAAACTCGAAGGAAAACACGAGCATCGTCGATATATGGATACTTAAACAGTTTTGTATGTACACGCATAACGGTTTAGGCTCGTTCGCAATAGTTTTGTCTCTCTCATTGTGAACAGGAACGTGTACGGAACATCGGTGTGCCGAGTTGGTCCACTCAACAACCGGCCGCGTAAGCTAGTAGCGCCGCGAGCAGAATTAGGATTCGCGCTTCCCGTTTCCCGTTTCCGCTCGAGGAATCGAGAACGTGATTCGGCGCCGGCGATGGTCCGCTCTTGTGCGTATTTGCGATCACCGATTGGCTCCGCCATTTCATCGTGTATTCCGGCGCGGTTCTTCCTAAAGCTTGCAATCTGCAAACAGAATCCACGATACATCGAATGTCACCCTAATCTTATTTCTCTTTGGTACACTTTTGGTGTCCGGGTATGGCCGATACGCTTGATTTTGGACACCTCGAGTGTTAGAAATGGTCGATTAAAATGATCTTGAATTGGAATTCAACATTGTGATTGAATATTGAATTGAAATTCAGGATTTTTGGGGAAACGAAATAATCTTATTTCTTTAATCTAGATAAGTAGAAAATAAGATGTGTGTGAAATTTTTGTTAAGGCCTCCTAGATCTCTCAGATAAAATCGCTCAAATTGTTCATAAATTTTGACAAATTAATTGTCATATTTGTTGCGATAATTCAGAAATTAATTTAAATCTTCGTTACAAGTGAGACACCCTATATTTAAGTTTTCACTGCTATTAGAAGTAAGAACAAATGACTAAGTAAGAGGAACTTACGCGAATCGAGGACGTTTATCGGTTATGATAAAAGAAATTTTCTTCAACGTCATCTTGAAGATCATTCCAAAGTCATTGTCATTTTTTTTTAAATATTTATATCTGTACTTTTTAATGCCACGTTTTAGCAGATATCAAGACGAGTACAGTGACCCTTAATGTGACTTTAAACAGTAAAAAAAATGTGGATGACCTTGAAATGACTTTGAGAGGCTTTTTTCATTAACCATAAAACTGTATACACTTATTACTCACTTTTTCTTATTTTAAATAGCAGTGTAAATAATTCAGATGTTCGTTACAAGTGAGCCACCCTGTATACAGAATTGTGCCCAATACGATAATTTTCTCAATTACATTATTATTCTTATTAACGAAACTAGCCTTAAATAAAATTTCTCCCGTCTAGAACACAAAACGATCTTTCACTAGAAATTTACGCGAAGCATCGAGGAATTCCTCTCGCCGTGTACCGTTCAGGAAACAGTGTACCGATACACAACCGTGACAAATGTAATCTTTGCGCGACTTATCCGTTCCCGAACGATTCCACGTCGTCGTGGGATAAATCTTTCCGGGCAATCGATTTTTAAGTCGCAGCCCGTATCCGCACAAAGCGGCCATATAAATTGCCCCTATAATTCAGGCTGCGGGCGTCATAATCTCCGCGCAGAAAGTGTCGCGGAACTGTCGTTAGTCGGCGTCGATGAACGGAGTTCCCGCGGAACTTCCGGTTAATCGGTCTCTCCAAACCAGAGAGGGGATATACTTGGGTTACCTTGAAATCACCGACGAACATTTCACCGAAACCGATTTTTTTGACCGACACTGTACGTCTACCGTCGAAGTTTCCTCAACTATTCATATACTGGGTGTGACAAAAAGTTTGGGCGAAAATTTGGGTGTCGGTTCTATGTGTCAAACTAAGAAGAAAAGTTCATATGAACATATGTCCTAAAACGCATCCTTATGGGGATATTTAAAAACTATTGTGTATGCACGAAGAAGTGTATTTGACACTTCGAACACCTACTTTCAATTCATCTTTTCACCGTTAATATTCGTTTCTCCACATATGTTCATATAAACTTTTTTTCTTATTTTGTCACGTAGAATTCGTACCCAAAGTTTTGTCCAAACTTTTTGGTACACCCTGTATATAGTTAACAGTATGTACGGTTTATCTCAGAACAGTGAAGTATCTCGGAAACTACGAACGATACAAAAAAATACTTCAGACGAAAGTTGTAGAGTATAGAGGACTACATATTGTTACGGTATTTGTTTGACCTTGCAACAACCTTGAAAAGTCCGGCAAAGGTCACGTATATGTTTTCTTTAAATATTGAAATTTTTCATTATTGACGTCTACAAATTATGTTGATTAATAAAATATCAGTACAAGTGTGACATAATAACATTTTATTGTTCACCGGATTACTTTTTATACAAGAAAATTGACGTGTTCATAAAAACAGTGTCGGCGAAACGTTTCCCGGCGATTTCAAGGTAACTTAGAATACTCACCTAACCACCACGGTGTTCTTCTTCCACGGAAGGGTGAAATACTTGTGTATGTCTCTCGAGCAGAATGTGTACAATCGTGGTCCAGCTGGATCGCCGTCCTTGCTGAACTCGTGTATCGTTAGATTCCATGCGGTGCAGGGACCTGAAGCGATGCAACAACGGGTCAGAAAATAGGGGAATTTCAATTTCAGCGAGTTTTTCGGCCGCTGAAGAAATCACAAGAATCTGTAAAACTGTTTTATTTCTAGCAAAGCGATTTTTGAAAAGGAATCATAGAAGTATTCTTGTGGAAATTGTGGATATTACTGTCCTGCAATTTTTAGGAATAATTCACGATTTTTTGTTTTCACTTTTTGTCAGAGTTCCATTTGGTAGCTTTTAAACAAATGAAAAGTCTTTTACAATAGATCAAACCAATAATAATACACATGGTGTGCCACGTAAAGTTGGTCACCTAATTATCTTCCCTAGCTATGATGGTACGAGACAACTTTCACGCATAATTTCACATAATTGGACAATGATTTCAAAGGGTGAATAAAATGGAAGAAAAATTTTGATACAAACGCCATTCTTTTCTATTTCATTACAAAATTACCTACTTACGTTGTTTTACATGAACGTATATACAGGGTGTCCCAGTATTGGATGGTACAACCGTGGAGGGGGTGATTCTACATGAGAAAATAAGTGGAAAATATGGAATAAATTTTTTTCATTCGAGGCTTCGTTTTCGAGAAAATCGACTTTAAATTTTCTTCGAGTACGCATGCACCCAACTGTGTCGTGGATGAACGGATCTCGACGTTCGGTGTACGGTGGCCAGCATTTTCAACAATTTTTGCATTAATAAAGTAAATCTTGATAATTACATGCTTTATTATTACTCATAGACCTACGACATATGGTCTACATACACTACCGGCCAAAAGTTTGGAATCACTGAGTATCGCGATTTACACAAAAATTTCCAGAATAATGTCAGCGACTTTGAGAATTTTTTATCATTCGAGATACGAGATAAATTGATAAATGTAGAATTGAGATAAACTTGAAATCTATAAAAAATTAGCAGCAGATTTAATATCGATGAAAAGTGGGAGGTGATTCCAAACTTTTGGCCGGTAGTGTATATCGAGATCCGTTCATCCACGGTTGTACCGTCAATACTGGGACACCCTGTACATTTTTCGACTGTATGTTACAGCAAACATTGGCGTTCATTTCAACATAATAACATGACCTTAAAACGAGCTCGAACTCTAAAATTTTAAATCAAACGTGAAACTTCCTTTCATTCTTTCCCATTCCTTCCATAAAAAAAAAAACCTATCTTCCCTCTTATTTACCCTTCGAAACCACATAAATCACGCCTAAAAACTCTCTCATAGCCGGAGAAGATAATCAAGCGACCTGTTTCACGTCTCCCACCCTGTACATTCCAATATCGTTTAATCCCAAGCGATTCAAGGTACGCCATTTAACGCGTACGCGTTAAAACAGAGCAACAAGAAAGGGTTGGAACGGCGACAGGTGAATTTGTCGAATCATTATGGGAGCCCTAACCGAGGACGCACGTTTCTCCGCGCGGGCATACAGAGTCAAGAGCGGAACGCGTCCCCGGGACAACCAATTAAGGGTGGTCGTTTCACAATTAATTGCCGCGGATACAACATTTGACGCGTCGGTGGAAAAGGACCGGTGTCCGACAATCGATGTTCCCGCAATCATCGAGAGAGTAGCGAATAATTGGAGGCGATTGATTCGTCAAACGTAGCAGTCGAGACTATGTATAATTGTGTATTTTTTTCACGTTATTGCTCACGGTTCCCTTTTTTCCCATTTTTTCGTCGCTCTCCCTCGCGATCGAAACTCTGTATTGTAACGCGTCTGTAAACAGGAACGGGGAACGGGCATCGCGTAAAATATAATGTATACACGCGGAAATGCACGTCGGACTTTCGTTTTTTTTCTTCCTATTTTTGCTTTATTTTTCCCCCTCTCCGTATCACCGTCCGTTTTATTTCACTCACCTGTTTCTGTCTTCGCAGTTGTTGTTGCCGTTCCGCCCAATGGATACGTCCATCGCGGATCGCGGAGAGAGAGCGACCGGGAAAACGATTTTTCGAATTTTTTCTGTTTTTTTCTCTCGCTCGAACGCATACAGTTCGCGGACTCTTTTTTTTCAATAATTTCCATCGAATCGTTTGAATATCAATGGCTCGACGTGGTAAAAAACAAAAAAAAAAATGGGGGACAAAAAACTATCCGACTCTTGACGCATGCAAATTCTATCTTTTTTTCTGCTTTGATTTATAGCGCTTACTTCATTTTCAATTTTTTTTCATCCTTTTTGCTTTTTGCTTTTTCGGTTGGACGAGAATTTTGGAGTTTTTCTAGAATATCGAGTTACCGGGGAACCTAATACACGGTTTGCCGCAGTTATATTTCCCTGCAGCACGTACCTGGAGGAATTCTCTCATTTTTTTGCCACCCGATCGAAAATTTTTACTTCAAACACGAGAGATAAGCGAAATGTCGATATTCCATTTTCGACGCCGTGAAATTTTTATCATAATCGAAATTTCATTTCTTCTTTCAGACAGTTTCCGCTGATGCATCGTGTAGAGATATCCTTTTATCGTACGTTTGTTTGATACGTCAGACTAATCCGACGATTACGCTCGAAGATGTTAGAGGAGAGATCAACGATCGACAAGTAACGCGTTAATGCTGTTTTTTCCGAGGGGAAAGTACATATAGAGGGTGTTCTGGAAAATAGGGATGGCTAGTTTATTCGCCAATTCAGGGTTAATCTAGAAATATTGTTCGCATCCTGGTTCCACTGGATGGCGTTCGACCATAAACGGGGTAAATTGCTTTCTAATCCGGCGTTTGCGGAGTTGATCGGTCGATGAGCAAACAAGAGAACGTAAAGGCGCCTCGAGGTACCAGTTTGGTGACGTTGCTTTTCGCCAGGCAAACTGAGAAAGCACGAGATAAATCTAACTCCAAGGAGAGAAAAGGACGACGGAATTTGAAACGAATTTGCATATTTATGTCGAGGAAGGTGGTGTTTTAAGTGTGAAAATTAGATATTTTCGTTGAACAACGAAACCCGGCAAAATAGCGGATTTTAGGTTTCTTACAACTCCGAGGGTGTACCTCCATGTGCACCTCTATCGATAATACCGATTGAGCTTCAAGAGTGTAGTGACTTTTGTTGTAATAAAGAAATAATTATACGTGCCAATTTATTTACCATTAATCATTCTAATCTCGAAGTAGATATACCTAAACATACTACAAGTGAAAAAATATACTATCGTTAATTTTAGTTGCTCTTAGTGTTAACAACTTCGTTAATAGTTGCAATAACGAAACACTAACTGATCCATACTTTTGCACGATACTCTTACCCACTTTTATACCAAACATCAAACACACGCCTAAAAGAACACGTTCCCCTTTCTCGCCAGTGTAAATTCCCGAAACGTCGAAAAGGGAAGCACGCCGGTTGGAATGGAAACAGAGGTCGAGGCGGTAAGCCATTTCTGGCGAGGCTTGGTTGCAACAGCTTCGCCTCTTTGCGTTGTTTCACGCCTGTGAATATAGCGAGAAACGGAGATAGCGGGACGAAGGAAGGCGAGCGAGAAAAGACTGGTGGAACACCGGGCAGAAAGAGGAAATCGAGGGGAAAAAAAAGGGGAGGCACAGTTCTCTGCCTCTAAAGACTCCTTCGAAGCAGAGGATCCAGCTTCTCCCTCTTTCTCTTTCTCTTCTTGGTCTTTCGTTGTCCTGCCGTGTCCAATAGTCTCTTTAATCTCGAGTCCTGCTGCCATTCGTTCTCGAGCCATCACCCCCTTTTGCGGAAGAACCGGTTCCCCCCGACCTTTTCCATCCCCCTTCATCCTTTTTTTCACTCCCTATCTGTTTACCCCGTGGCGGCTTCGTTCTCCTGCCGGCCTTTCGCTCTGGCTCGCGCCCATACCAAGCTCAATGGCGCGGATCGAAATTCCAACGGAGTAGCTAAGGCTGGAATTGAACGGAATTCGCCGGCTGATGGTTAGAGAGGGGACAAAGCACGGCCCTGGTAAGTAGGCGCCTTTGATTTGCTGCTGAATCGCCGATGGTGGATCCTGGATTTCGACGGAGACTGACGGGGAGATTGGAATCGGGAAATTTGAGAGATTTCGACGGGACACGGGTGAGACGTAATTTGTTACCCGTGATTGGGCGAGTTTGGGTATTTTCAGGTACTCGGAGAGGTCTCGGTGTGAGGAAAATTGTATGAAAATTTGGGAAAATCTTTGGTTGGTGATTCGGATAATTGAATAATTGAAGGGTTATAAATAAGAACCAGTAAAATTGTCAGAGAGGTACTCAAAATTATGAGAAAATTGGAGGAAATCTTTGGTTGATGATTCGGATAATTGAATAATTGAAGGGTTACAAATGATAATGTTTTACGTACCAGAAAGTAAAATTGCCGGGGAGGTACTCAAAATTATAAAAAAATTTTGAAAATCTTTGTTTGGTGATTCGTATAATTGAATACTTGAAGGGTTCTAAATAATAACGTTTTAAGTACCAGAAAGTAAAATTGTCAGAGATGTACTCAAAATTATCAGAAAAATTGAGAAAATCTTTGGTTGATGATTCGTTTAATTGAATAATTGAAGGGTTCCAAATGATAATGTTTTACGTACCAGAAAGTAAAATTGCCGGGGAGGTACTCAAAATTATAAAAAAATTTTGAAAATCTTTGTTTGGTGATTCGTATAACTGAATACTTGAAGGGTTCTAAGTAATAACGTTTTAAGTACCAGAAAGTAAAATTGTCAGAGAGGTACTCAAAATTATGAGAAAAATTGAGAAAATCTTTGGTTGATGATTCGTATAATTGAATAATTGAAGGGTTCCAAATGATAATGTTTTACGTACCAGAAAGTAAAATTGCCGGAGAGGTAATCAAACTTATAAAAAAATTTGGGAAAATCTTTGTTTGGTGATTCGTATAATTGAATACTTGAAGGGTTCTAAATAATAACGTTTTAAGTACCAGAAAGTAAAATTGTCAGAGAGGTACTCAAAATTATGAGAAAATTTGAAAAAGTCTTTGGTTGGTGATTCGTATAATTGAATAATTGAATCGTTCTAAACAATAACGTTTTAAGTATCTACCAAAGAGTAAAATTGTCAGGAGAAGCGAATAACGAAGAGACACATTTTATTTACTTAATTATCATGCAATTATTATTTAGCAGGATAGTAATAGTAACAGGGGAGCATAACATCTGGGAAATTATAAACTAAAGCAGAACGAAACAGACTCCATTGTACTGTAACTTCTGACTCACCCTGTATGTACAAATGTAATGTAGAAATGAGTGTGTTGAGCATCGAATGGTGCCAAATAATTTTTAAAATAATAATAATAGTAAAACAATCGTATTACTTCTGACCCACCTTGTATGTACAAATGTAATGTTGAAATGAGTGTGTTGAGCATTTAATGGTATCAAATAATTTCTTTTTCTCTTTGTAGAATGTTAATTGATAAAACGTTGCAACGTTGTAATCTCAATTTCTAAAAATTTACTATGGAACGCATAAATCATGCAGAAGAGCGTATCGAATGAAACAAAGTGTTTTAAGCATGAAAATGAAATATTTCTTAAATATAACACATAGTAAACGAGTAATTTAACGATACAACTTATACGTAAAAGGAAACGACAGTTTCTTACGGCTCTGTGTAGATTTTATTTCGATGGTGAGCTGTCGATCTGTCGTGGAATCGAGAATCCATGTGCACTTCTGCTGATAGTACTGATTGAGCTTTAAGCCGCTACTGGCCAGGTCACCGCCATTGACCTCGCCTTCCGGCTTGGTCGTTGTGTGATAACCGCAGTAAGTGTCCTTGATAAACTCGTAATCCGCACGGAAATTGAGGCCTGCCTTCGAGGACCTCCACCATTCGATGTACACAGGCGTCCAGCTACGTATACCGACTGGCAGCCAGTCCTGTTGGATAGATCGTAGGACCAGGTACTTGTATTTTGGAAATCATTTTCACAGTTTATTCAACGCTTTGCAACCAAAGAACGTTCACTGTGTGAATGAAATTTTTCACACTCGTACAAAATGTATCGAAATAGGAATGTACTATAAGTCTTGAGTGCTCGAACAAAAATTGATCTCAATTTAGTATCCATTACGGACAAAATGATCGCAAGATAAGTCACTATTTCTTTGAGAAAATACCTTTGGTTACGAAAGGGTCAACATATGTTCAAACGGGTATTCCTTTCTTGACGAGTCAAAAAAAATTTGGTTATAGTTTTTGATCCCAAAAATGTACGTGTAAAGTATTGCAGCGAGATTCGTAAAATTATCAGAGCTGTAGAGATTAAGATTAATTACTTGTTTTTCTTTATTGAAAGATGACTCAAATTTTTCAAAAAATTATATCTATAGAATTTAATTATCGACTTCTTCTTCTGAATACTGGTACACAAAGCCCAATTGCCCCGCAGAGGATTACCCAAACAATAATTCTACCAAAAGATTGGTCAATTTCTCCGCGAGAAATTGTAAGGGCTTTTAATCTTAACAATATTTCTTCGTCGTCGCTGACTTGTCCTTATCAACTACGCAGTTCAATCTCGTTCTCTTACAATTCTTTTGGCAGTGCTCTTAACGCGCCCTTATACGCGGGCCTTGACGCCCCTCCCTTGCCTTCGGGAAACCCTGGCGCAAGTTGGGGGTTTCTACCCGGCAAAGACCGCGTCGCGCGAGCACGTGGCTGGGGCCTTACCTGACCCAGTCCTTAGCGCGTGGGGGAGTCAGGCGTTGGGACCGGGTTTCTCCGCAGACCGAGGGGTCTGCAAAAGTGACATCACCATGAAACATCGAAAAGCACAGGGTTCTCGAAAGATTCATCGAAACGTGCACGCTTCGTCCTCGACCAGCTCGTACTCAGCAAATCGCTCAACAGAGAGCCACATCTCTCTCTCTCTCTCTCTCTATCCCTCACCGATCCTTCGAAAAACAGTTTCTCTCTTTTTGTCTACGTTGTCTACTTTCGCAGTGTACACGCGGCATTATTTGTTTTATTCAGCGGCCGGTGAAATCGTTCAAAGTAATTCCACGCCGGTTGATGGAATAGGTGTTGAATAGAAACGCCAGAGAGCATTCAGTGTCCCGCCAATACAATCGGCGAGCGGGCCGTTTGTTCGCGAATAAAAGCTGAATGAAACGGTGGCAGTCGGACGTGAGAGGTAGAAATGGAACGTGGAAAGGGAAGGAAATAGGTCGAAGGAAGTTGAGCTGACAAAATTATTCCGAAATGTGGATGAATAATTCAGGGTATGTGCGAAGTATCGGGGAGCGTTGTTTCTAAATTCTGAATTTGACAGTGAAGCTTCTAAAAACGAAGTACACTTTTAGTTGGCGTAAATTTGATTTGGGATACCTACATATAGGATCGTTCAACGTCAAATCGAGAGATTTTTGAGATCCATGGAGGGATTTTGTTCAAAATTAAATATGATGTAGATCACGTGAAATTAGAGGGGGTTTATGTTACTATTTTTCTGGTTTCGAATTTATTAAAAAAATACGGACTTTTGAATTTTGAAATTTTTATCTAATTTCATGAAAATGGGCTGTATTTGTGAATTTTTATCTAAGAAGCTATTCATCGAATTGAGTTTGTTCATTTTTTGTTTTAATCTAGAACTTTAATTTTTCCAGAAGGGCTGTTCTGTTGATATTTTTAAATTGAAACATTTATTTTGTAATATTGTAAATTACAAAGGAATTCTTATTTTGCAAGTTCTTTAAATTGGAGAAAATTTTTCTAGTGGGA